TTAAACTGATTCGGTTAAACTGATTCGGTTAAACTGATTCGGTTAAACTGATTCGGTTAAATCCCTTTCCATCATTTTTACTGTTATTTGTAATATTGGTCTCCAGTCCATCGCAGGGCAACTCAGAGACAAACAGGACAAACAACCATTCACACTCACACCTGAGGAGGATTTAGAGAAGCCAGTGAACCTTTTTGGACTGCGGGAGGAAGCAGGAGTACCCGGAGAGAACCCCTGCATGCTCAGGGAGAACATGCTAACTCCATGCAGAAAGATCCCGGGCCGGGAATCGAACCTTCTTGCTGCGAGGCAGCCGTGCTACCCACTGCTCCACTGAGCAGCAGTCATCAATCCGATAACTCGTACTTTAAAATCGGAATCCATTTCCTGTTCAGTTCCGTTAGTTGAAATCAGCTGCTCTGTGCTGCCACCTGCTGTTTTAGACGAGCTGATCACCTGACGGAGAGGGAGTTTCGACTGGGCCTGAACCAGTATTTTGCGATTAATTTAAACCGTTATTGCGATTTTATTCAGATGATCTTTTGCACTGTAAATGTTTTACTTCAGGAATGAGGATTCCTCCTGACCCTGGGAGCGCGTTTCCAGAGTGGATTTTTGCAGGACTTTACTGAAAGGTTTTAGTGAAAAAGTGCTAACTTGTAAGAGCTAGCTCTGTCTCTCTTTCCGTCTGTTTGGTTGCAAACCCACTTTAAGCGCATCGCTGCTACCTAATGTTAAATTAATGTGAGCAACATTGGGTGCATCTGCCAGTTGTTGCGATCAAAAGTCTGTTTTGAGTCCAGGGTTTGGCTGAGCCAGGCCTCTCTACGATGAGGATCATATCACCGTCACGCAGGACATTGATTTTATATATTTTATATATTTTTGTTACATCAAGTCCCATCCGGACTCTTGTTCTGATGTGTTGGCTGTAGAGCAGACGGGTCAAAGTGCAGCTGATGGTGAACTCGGTGGGTTTGGATGGTTTCCTGTTCAGTTTAGTGTCAGCAGGCCTAAGCTCTGTTCTTGGATCCGTCATCCTGCTCCCATCCAGGCCTCCTCCGTTCAGCTTTACTGATTCATTGATCCGGTTTTATGGTTTGAATGGTTGGACATTGATTTCCACATCCCAGCTCTCTGTGCTTCCTGTCCCCGTGAAGCATCCAACGCCTCGGCGCCGTGCTGATGGAGGGTGAGCCGCCCCAGCAGGTGTGGAACCATGCTGGCAAACAGGTCAGACTGCTGCTGTAGAAGACAATCTGCGTGATGTCAGCCGCATAACTCGGATGATTTCTATTTTTGTTAGAAGGCGCTTCAAACGCCCTGCCTGTGTGCGTCTGCCAGGCTCCTCTCTGAGTATCAGGTGACAGGCTGAGGCCAGGAGGAACCTCGGATCGCCGGCGGTTTCTGTTTGCATCACAGGTGGAGATCTTTCCATCCTGTCTGCATGCAGGAACAGGCGTAGATCTACTCCAACCCGCTGGAGAACATCTGATTATTCCAGAGCTTGTTAAGCTGGAATTACTTCTGAGTTTTGCTGCATGAAATGTGTGTAGAAAGGAAGTATTTGGAGAGATAAAGGGTGTTTTTCTGAAAGTAAAATCATCTTAATCCTCCAGAATGACCAGGTGGTCCTTCTCATCCTTTGTTCTGCGAAGGTTGAGCTGTCGGATGAATCACCATGAAAGGAATGAGCTGGTATGAAGGCATGAGGGACGGGTTCTACTGGATCCCTGCTTACTGCCTCAGGTGGAGCTCAGCAGGGCTTTAAAGTTCAACTGGGACCAGCTCTGCCTCCCAGTTCGCCCAGTGCCACCAGACGCTCCTCAGGTTGGGAATATGGCTCCAGGAAGCTGATGGAATCTGTTCCCATGTGAAACATAACTGAGAGGAGAATAAACGGAGCAGGAGGATGCATGGAATGCCTGCGCTGCCTTTGGGTCGTGGGAAGTGTTTGTTGGAGAGAAGAGCTCCTCTCCTCCTCCTCCTGCTCCTCCTCCTCCTCTTCTTCATGCTTCATGCTCTGAGCTCCAGACCTCCTCGTAACCCCAGCTTCCGGGAGCTCCTCCCCACAGTTTCCGGTTCCTCAGCAGCCTGCATCATGCATCTGGCCTGCTTCCTGCTGCAACGGCTGCATTCTGGTGCTGTGCTTCAGGCTGGCGTCATGGAGCACGTCCCAGGGTGACGTCTCACTCCTGTAAAGTGTGAGTCGGAGAAGCTGCAAAGCGTTGAAGCTGTGCAGAGGAGGCAGCAGACGCGCTCTGAACGGAGGCCATGTTGGGTGTGAGAGAAGCCGGCTGCCTCGTGAGACTCGACCAGAGAACAGGAAGCAGCCTAGAGAAGGCCGCAGGTTGAACTTTAACAGCCGTCTGTGAACGTGCCTGAGCCCCAATCATCACTTCATTGCTTTGCAGCTGTCATTTCACAACAAAACTAATATGATCTTTTTAGGGCTGAAAGAAATGAAATGGATCAGTGGTGATTAATCCGATTATTGAAATAATCATCAATAGGGCTGGGTAGAAAAATGGATTTTGAATCGATTCCTTTACATTTTTGCAAAATCGATGTCTCAGGAATGAGATCGATCAGTTTTATAGTGACGCGCGTGACGTTCACATTCAGATGAGCAGGAAAGATGCTCTCAAGATGACTTCAAGCCAGACGGCTGCAAATAAAGGTTGACTGAAGACATTAACAAATGGAGGCTGAGCAGCAATACCCTGTAGTTACAGACAGCGCTGCACATACGGTTTGTTCAGTGGAGATAATGCAGCTCATGCATGTCTGCTGTGTCACGTCTGCTTCCACTTTTGAGACAGTTTTGTTCACATCTCAAGTTTAAACTGTCTTATCTA